ACCCTGTATACCAAATTTCTACCAGAATGAGTGCTTTGATTTCAAAATGTAGTAACTTATCTTTTAGAAAATTGGATCAAGATGGGGTACTTTAAAGAGGTCATTTTTCGTGTTTCTCAATAGTTATTTAATGACACGGGTTAAGCTATCCACAAAGTACGAAAAACCCGTAAAAACAGGGTTTTTATTTCTAACGTTTTAATTATCACCATAGAAACTAATAAAACTAATGATTTTAGTTATTTTGTTGTAGTTTATAATATAAATTCAACTTACAGGCTATAATAAATAATAACAATACAAAATATCCAGATTGACAAATGTGATCAGCCCTCCACCAAAACACCCACATAGTTACGTCTGTCACATAGGCAGAAATGTGGCCTGGTAATAAATTTTCCTGGCCTGAATTTTTCTCCCAGGCCATCTCTGAGAGTGGCTATCATTACAGTTTGTAGCGTAAACTGTAATGTTAGATGGTTAAAAATATTATCTCAATGAGTTTTGTAACGTTTAATCTTGCAATGCTCACAAGTCACAATTTATCATACCACCTATATCAAATAGCTAAACGTAGAAATTAACATACCTAATCTTAGTAGGTACCTGATAGTTTGACCAGACGACCCGATTTGGTCGGGACAGTTCCAATATTCCAATTTTTGTTTAGTCAAGACAATAAAGTGTACCAATTTTAACGTCCTACTTTTTTCCTGATTTTATTTGACTGTAGGTATTCTATTAATTCAAAAATAATAAATACATCAAATAACTTTTTTTTTCATTTGCATAATTTTCTGAATATTTTACTTGATTTAAATTTTGTATAGGTAGACACTAGACATATAAGTACCATAATGGTTGTTCCAATATAGCTAGGGAGTAGATTTTAATATTATTTTGTTGTAACTCTACGACATTGGTCATTAGTCATTATAATTTATAGTTATTAATTCTAAGACCAACAATTTGTTTTCCTATAATGGTTGTAACTATAATATAGGCGCACTATTTAAAAAAAAAAAAAAAAAAAACTATTTTGATATTTATCTATAAATTTATGTTTTTCGTTGATACCTCAGATGTTCAGATATCAGACATTTATTTGTTTATTTCATATAGTATTCTATTATAAGTCTATGGTTTATTTTATTAAATGTGCCAGTCATGTCGAACAACAGTTATAAAATTTTAGATTTTTTTAGAATGTGTGATGAAATAAGCACAAGTTAGAGCTGACTAGTGACTACTCTGAATGGCGAATGCTGATATACCATATATTTATTGGCTCCCATACGAACATGTTCAGTGGGGCCCATTATCTTATTGAAGAATAAGTAAAATAAAAAAATAAAAATAAAAATATATGCAGTGGCGTAGACATGATTCCTGAAAGGGGGGGATCAAAAAAATAAAACGTCATAGCTGAATGGGAAGGGAAAATTGGAAAATCCCCCACTCTCTCAAAAGTTTTTACTTAGGTGGTAAAATATTTAACAATAATAGGAACAATGAATATAATTTTATATGATGGGCTAATCAACTTTTACACTTTTACAGATTAAATACGTACTATAGCACACTGCACAGATAGATAGCTGAACAGTGTTAATACATATAGTTAATTTTTAAATATTTTAAATACAATTTAAGACTTTTTGAGCGACTACCATAGACCATTAAAATAATTTTTTAATTTTCTTAACATTTCCGGGGGGGCTGCAGCTCCCTCAGCCCCTCCCCTGACTATGCCACTGCATTACAAACAAACATTACACATGAAAAACTTACGTTCATATTTGTCACTGCCTGATGAACAACTGTCTGAAGAATCTTGATTTGTTTATTGGTATATTATTTTTTTGTCAGTTTAAAATTTTAATTTATCAAAATATTAATTTATTTTGGGAATACATTTGAGGATAATGGTTAATTTACCTATTAAAAGTCTATAATAATTTTTTATTTTATTTTTTCTGTTGTTCCTGTGATTGAATGTTATAGATAACTGTATAGTTATATGTTAATTGTTTGTGGAACTGTGTCATTACTAAGTCTTTAAATTACAAATTATGTATTATTACTCTTTTATACATTACATTAATGTTTGTAAGTTTGTAAAAACAAAAACTGTTTGAATAAATTGTAGTATTTGTGATATATTTACACTAATATTTCTTTAAACTCCTTAATTACAGTTATTGCCTGTTGTTTAATAATTTCGTTTTTGGAATCAATTATGGATTTTAGTTTTAAACACCTAAAAATATATAATATTTTTTAATTTTTAGTAAAATCGAACTTTAAATGTTTATAAAAAAAAAAATTGTGCTTACATGTATTTTTAATATTTTTCAACTGCCATTGTAACAATATATCAAGAGCTTTGTATTACATTTTCGCGCTTTTTGGCTCAACAGCATTTTTTTATTGATATTTATAGAAAAAAAACCAAAAAAGAAATTGCCCGTAAACAGCTCAAAACGAGTCGAAATATTTTCAAAATTTTATGGTGTATTGAAAATGAGAATATAAACATTCAGTCAAATTTTCATGTATCTACAGTTATTTGTTTTTGAATTAAGGCGCCCAGTGCTGATGCCATTTTGTCCTCAAAAAGACACTGCGGAAATAACGATACTGCCTTGTAGAATCAATCAAATTTCAATTTTTTAATTGCTAGAGGGAAATATTCTACAGCCCGCATCGATCTCTGTTTTTCAATATTTTATTCTCAAACTTTATAATATGTCTAAAAAAATACAAGATAAAAAGCATTTTTTTTTTAAAGTTTTTAATACAATTATTTGAAATAAAATACAAAATCAGAGATCGATGCGGGCTGTAGGAAGTCTTCTTCTTTCAGATAAAAAATAGTCATCAAAATCCGACAATTCTACAAAGCTTGAGAGTTATTCCCGTAAAGTAGTTTTTTTCGATATAATACACACTATCAACCCCCCCTACTGAATAGTGAATAGGTATCTCGTAGTAGAAAAGTGGAAAAGTCTTATAATTGAGGTGGCAACTAAAATATAAAATTTCATTTTCAAATTTTATAGAATTACAGAAAATTTGAAAAACTGGCACAGGGACATTAAGTATATAAATTTGTACTAATATTCTTGTACCTTTTCACTAAAAAGTTTGTGTTCGCTTCATTTATAGCTATAAAAATTCACACAGATATTTAAATTTTAAGATTTTTTTCATTATCCGACAAAATATTTATTATTTCTTTATTTACTGCACTTTAATTACCACTTTAATTATTGTTTCTGTTGTAGGTATATATTTGTATTCTTTAATTTTTTTTTTCGGCTATAGTGAAGTTCACAAGCAATAAGGCCCTTGGGACTATAATCTTTTATTTTGCCGAGTCATTTCAGTAATATATTGAATTATAATATTAAGGTATTGTAATGACCGTAGATGAAATAAACTATACAGTAATACTGTGATTGAAAACAGAGCTCCAAAATATTTTTGAAATAAAAAAGCGCGTAATTCTGTGTAAAATATGTTCTGATAAAAAGTGAAATTGTTTCGAAAAAAATCGAAAATACTTGTAATATTAAATATTTTCAAAGTATATTACCATACCAGCTTTATTAGTAATTTAGTCATTACATAATATTATTATGAACAGAGTTAAAATTACTTCAATTCTATAAAAAGTAGGTACATTGGACTCATTGAGGAACCCTTTTATAATGTATATTTATACAAATTTAATGAAATAAAATTACAGAAGTAAGTAGTACCAGTTAGATTCTACCCTATTTCCTCATATCAATATTGTTATTAGTCCACCGGGCCTCAACTACCATAATATACCACGTCTATAGCCAGTGGCGTGACAAACTACTTTTTTAGCAGTAGATCAAATACAGAATACCATCCCACCCACCCCAAAAATGAATGTTCAACTGTATAACCTACTTACCTATTATTTATTAACTACTGCTTAACTTATATTTTATTTTTCTACAATTTGCAATGACACAATGTCCCACAACCTACCCACCCAATAACCATATATTACTCATTTATGTATATGTTTGATGTACCTATTCTATTGTTTCAAAAGTCACCCAATGGTAACTGTGTGTTTATAAATTACTACCAAACAACGAAAAGTTATTCCTTAGTTCCTTACTTCTCAGATACACAAATCCCTTTGATTTAAACTAACTATTGTGCTCAGCACTACTGTTCATTTAACTAGCCGCATATGTTTACTTAAGAGGTTGGGGTGGTGGGGGGTAGAAATTAATCTTGGAGCTAGGTGAAGATTTTGCCAAACACGGTACCTAAGTTGTTCTTTTATTACCTAGGGACAGTTGTCAGTAAATTCTAAGCATTGATAAAATAATAATCGATATAAGATGTAGTTTTATGTAAAGAAATATTCTGTAAAAGTGTAAGTTATTAAAGTATGATTGGAATTAATAACTACAACTTTAAAAATCTCAAACAAAACTTTAACAATATTATTATATTTTTGTGTATTTTGAACTATACAATATACAATGTACAAGAAGTGTATTAGTTTTAAAAACTAAGAGTTTAAGTTTAAAATGTTCATACCTTACATTAAGTATAGTTAAGAAAATATAAATAAATATTCTTCAAAAATATTGGCGTATACATGGCCTAAAATTATTCATAAATAAATACTTTTTTTTTCAAAACTATTTTACTATAAATTTTAAATTTTATTTATGCATTAAGTATCTTTTTCATGAGCAACTGTTTATAGTCAAAAATATCTTAATCAATGACAATATATTCATATTTTAAGTTATATGATATTATTCATTCTGGGCTAAATGTATAAACATTTGTAATTTTGATAGTTGATTATTTTAAAATGGAGTTAATTTTTTTCTAAATACAATTTACTTTTTTAAAAATATATGTTTACATATTTATGTACAATATTAAGATGTTATATGTTTCAAGTGATGTAAACAAATATTGGATTATGGTACAGATTTTTAATTATTTTCTTCAGTATCAGTTTCAGGATAGTCGACGACTTTACGTGTTCTTTCTTTTATAATATTGTGTTGTCTTTGATATATTCTAAATACACCTTTTACTGCAATGTACACTAACCCACCCTAGAATAAAAACATAAATATTATAAATAAGCACTTTGCATTAACATTCATTACATTTTATATAACACTTACCAATAAAGTTTTTTGTAAATATGAGTATGAACTATTGTCAAATAATAAATTTCCAACTACGGTGGCAGTAGTTGGCAATAAAAGTGCAGCGCAAAGAGTAGTTGTTGGATTAACGACTGAATTGAATTGGACTGTACTCGTTGAATTGTTGACAGGTTCACACCTAAAAATCAATACAAGTACAATTCATAATTAAACAATTAAACAATCATAAATATAAGTTAAATATAAATGTTTTACAAAAACGAAGGCATGATTGTTCTTAATAAGGGTAGTTGAGAAGTAAATCTCTGCACAAATAACAGTAAGGTTTCTTCCCAATTAATCGTTTTGCCTAGAATTAGACTGAGAGGTATTGATGGCAACACCAAGAGCAACATACATGAATCTGTATTCTCCATCATTGTTATAGCTTCCCTTTCACCCATTACCTAAAAAACCTTAATTTTTAACCTCTATATAAATAAATAATCCAATTAATATTAATTAACCTGCATCATCGTGATTGCTCCATAAGAAGCTGCTGACCAATAAAGAGTGCTGACCACAACACCAGCTGCCAAGAAAGGACATAGCTGATTAGCTGTCTTATCAAGTTTGTTTAGTATTCGAACAAAATAATCTGTAAAATTGTAAGGTATAAAAAATATTTAATAACATATAAACGGTTATTAACATATAAATGTAATATAAAGATATATTTTGATTGCAGTTATTTTTAAATTATACTAGATATAAACATTTATAATTTTTAGTCAAGTTTTTAAATTTAGCAGGTTAATGTTAAAATGCTTATATCGAAGTGAAAGTTATCCAAAATAGAATATTTAACTCATGTAATATAAAAAATATTATCTAGCAAAAAATACGTACAGATATGAATTTAAGAAGTTATTTTATTCCCATAAGGTTTAACTATCATCAATACTAACTCTAAAACACTTACTGACTTCATCATACACAATAATATATTGTGTGTGGCATTGAGGGCAATGTGCTTTAACACTAAGATTTTCTTTCAGTTTTTCATCAACCCAACGTTGAACACAATCCTGATGAACCTGAAATAATAAAACAGACGACAATACATTGTTATAGTTTGATTGTACGAATTGCAGGTACATAAAACATTAATTGTTATAAATGTCTACTATATTATAGTCTGTTGAATATGTGTATAGAAAATGACAAGCAGCATCCTTATTACCGTGGCAGGAAAAAAACATTGAATGACCCGGCAATCATTTGACACTCGCCTACATTCAATTACATAGTTTTTTTTTATAGTAGTTATCATTCCATTCTTCAATAAAACTCATCTTATAAATTAATTGTCAATGTGGTTGAATTATTCAAACTAATCAAAATAGGATTATTAAAAAAAAATTGCATGTGAAGTTAAGTATTGATAAAAAGAACTTAATTAATAGGTACCTATGATATATTATTGGGTACCAATATGGCTATAGTATGAGATAAATCAGTTAGAACTCTAGTATTTAGAGGTACCTACCAGCTTATTATCGTACAATACAATTATACAAATATTTTAGTATGGTATTCAGGCCAAATTTTGGATTTAAAAAATTAAGTTTTGCTCCTACATGTAAATCCAAAAATATGCTCAACTGGGACAGAAGACATTCTAGGATAACATTATATAAATTAATTGTTTTATTTTATTCTGCTTTTAAAACATGGTGTGTTCCTATGAAGGCTTTAGTTAACGGATCAAATACATTAACCTTATTGTAAAATATACCAAACTAACATAGACTTCTACTATACTATAAGTAATCAACTGCAGTAGCAGCTACTTAAAATGTTCACCTATAATCTATATATTATAAATTATTGAATATCTAAGCATAATATCAGAATGTGTAAAAACTATGTGTTTAACTTTAATAATATTATAATTAACATTCCAATGTGTCAGTAGAGCATACACTACATGATATTGATAACTATTCGCTTATAACGATTAATATGTATATTGAAAACTATGAAAAATTACCCATCGTGTAGAACCGCGACATTTACATGGTGACACCCAATCTCTGCTACTTTCATAATCATCATCGTCAGTACCAAAACAAACCCAACAATGTTTCTGCCTAGAATAGAGTAATAAACATGTTAAAACAATACTTTATACTACATAAATACCAGAGATAGAATGAACGATATAAAATTAATTCTAGGTTATATGATATGTACGCTTAACGTGTTAGTCTTTTTATGAAATAAACAGTATGGATACAAACATAACCAATTAAAATGAATACTTACAATATTTAAATTATTAATTAAAAATTATTAATAAATGATTAATGTCTTTGATTTGAGTTTTATTTGATGTACATTATCTATTATTAATTAAGTTCATATAAAAACATATTTTAAATTGACAACGTCAAGTAGAGTTCATTCCACCTCTAATAATCGGACATTATAAATTTACTCTGATGTTTCTTGACTGCAGGAAGATGAACGTTGGCCGGTACTTGCGTTTTCCATTTTTAAAAGATGTTAACTAAGCGATTTACTTAATAAATTTATTCACAAGTGTATAATAGTTAAGTTTGTAAACTTGTTATATCATTCTAAAAAAATTATTATCAATCAGTCACTTTGCGATGAAACGGTTTTGAATATCCAAAACACCTATAAAGTCCTAATGTTATTATGTACCTATCGAATGAAATAATACAATATTGTATAACATTAGGTTTAGTAACACAAAGTTCGTGTTATTGATAAAAAAAAAAACAACGTAGTTACTATAGCTTAAAAAGTCTCGAATAAATAATAATAGAATTTTTTTATTAGAGCCTACGGCGGGATTCGTTGATCAATTGTTCCGAACAATTCACTATTCAGAAATATCATAGAAACATTAGTGACACTGAATGAAAGACAGGTATTGTTATCACATTTATTTTTATCAACAGCTGCAGCCGTTGTCCAATCGGAGCAGCTCCCTGCCACACGAAATTAAACAACACCGACCGATAGTAAATAAAAAATTATTATTAAAAAAACGTCCGAAACGGATAAGTACTAAATTACGTAACGAAGCGAATAATAATAATAATAATAATATTATCCCCCACCTTGTTAATTTTTTTCGGTTCGGTTATTAATAATAATTTATCGTATTGTTCGGGCGCGGGCAGCAAGTTCAATCGTCCCTGGCCGAATTAATGACGTTCTGAACATAGACATATTATTAATAATGTCATGTTAATCATATAATATCTATGTCTATGGTCCTCAATAATAAAGTCTGCACTGCACATCGATATACGAGTGTGCGAAGTGTCATAATAAATAATTAATTACCATTATAGGTACCCAAGTGGCCGCCGGTGGGCACTATATAGCAAGTCGTATTATAAGTACTTAATATATTACGACGCATTAAAACACGTCACATTCGAACGAAAAAATGTACCTGTATAAAAGTAATAATACGTATCAACGCAAGTTCGAGCCGATAAATGGGTAATTATGAAATAAAAATAAAATCGTTCTGAAAATCAATACGGAAAAATAATATTATAATTTTTATTTATAGTTTATTATAATTATTATTAATGAGTTGGAATATTCTGCTCTCGCCGTCCCGCCCGTCTCCGATGCACTATCATAACGCGTTTAACCCGGGAAACCGCTAGATCACGCCACATTCAATTATTAATTAACACGAAAATCAAAGTATTACCCACGAATAATAAATTACCAAACGTTTATTAATAATTTTAACCGAATCTGTGCTCGAAATCATGAATAATATTATTATTATTATTACATTCATCAGAGTCAACACAGCCTGCGCAAAAAGGTATGTACCCGAATTTAAGGCTTACGGTAATATTTTTTATCATAATATTATACGTGAACGAGTTTGTGTTTGAAGTTCCCGATCTTGGAAGTTTAAGCTGACAGTGTTCTTAACACGCACTCCCAATTTATTCTCAAATAATTTGACATTGGAAACTATACTAAATATTATATAGTCTATTGGCGAGCTAGAACATGATATTTTTAATTCGAGTCGACAAATAGGTATAGACGCGTAGTAGGTACCTACCATTGAATATTGATTATATTATAACGATTATCAATATAATATAGATATAGGTACCTAGTGGCTAGTAGATACCTATAATATATTAATATACATAATTTTTCAATAGTGACACTTCTAGAGTCTAGAAATTCGCTGGACTAAACCGGTGGGAAAAATAATGCACCGGAGGTGTTTGGACCATTTACATGGTTCATTATCCCGGTGCGGGATAATATGGGATAACTTTTAAACCTGTCTAGTAACTAGTTTAGCGAATTTCGATCTTTTCCGTTATACGACTTCCTACTTTACAGGACACTCCTTTTTTGGGCTGCAACTTGTTAGCGCACATTTTATAATTTTTACCTGAAAAATCGGAACTCATTTGCGCACACGGTTATCCTAAATGTACAACTGGTTTGCGCACACGAAAATAAGGCTATATGACATAAGCACCAAAGGTGCAAAAATGCAAGGCTGGGCATTAACGAGTTAAAAAGTTAAAGTTAAGTTAATAAGTTAATTTTATATTAACTTTTTAACTTAACTAGTTACTTTTGGCTTTTCATTAACTTAACTGTTAACTGTTAAAAATGACATATCATTTGCGCCAAAATAAATATTTTATATAAGTAGTTTTTCTAAATTGATATAGGTATTATCTTAAAATTAAAATTAACACATTTTACACAAACATTATATTATATGCATTTTTAACATAATTTATTAACAGTTATTATTAATAATAAGCAAGTATTAACATGCATTTTTAACCACACCTATGAATATATTCATAGACAGTCCTAAATAAGTACTTTAATAATTTACTTGTTAAGAGGGTATTAAAAGGTCAAGCCAAAAGGTAACTGTGCGCAAACCATGTGCATGTTTACGGCTCAACTGTTCCCAAACGAGTGGTAGTTTTGTGCCCAAAAAAGTTGTCTTTTTGGTATTTGTGCGCAAACCAGTACCTCCCCTTTTTTGGGGGGACGTCATTGGATTCCCGCCCGTTGCCACTCGGATTGCGCTCGGACAATGAAAATTTTTTCTCGACCTGCTAGCAACGCTCCCTCAATTTGGTCACTGCCGGGCCACCACCGTATATTCACTCTTAAGAGGACTTCGCACCAGGGCCGGATTGGTTAGGCGAGCCACCGAGAAAATGTTAAAGTTTGTTGCCGGTCGTGTGAGTTTGAGGAAAATAAATTCATGTTTAAAATACGATTGGCCACCTATAAGCTCGTAAAAATTGTAGACGAAATTTTGGACCACTGAATATGTAAATGGACCGCTTGTAGAAGTGAAAATCTCAATGGGCCGATACATACCAATCCGGCCCTGCGTCGCACCCTCATGTGTTGTCTCCGTGACTCCGTCTTACACAAGTACGACATAACAAATTAACGTTCGCTAGTTGCAAGTCAGTTTCGATGTTAGAGCGAATTGACTTTTTTTTTTCCTGGAAAACCACTTCATGGATTCCGTACTGCTGTCGCATTACTTAGCCCCAAGAGCGAATTGACCTAATATCAAACTTTAAAGTAACAACATTATCTGAGTGTTCTCGTTGGTTTTTTACGATATTTTAGTTTTAAAGTGAGTTATGAGTGGGTAAGTAAAACATCGATGTTTTAAAATGCTCACAATTCACTTAAAAACTAAAATATCGTAAAAAACCAATGAGAGAACACAGATAATGTTGTTACTTAAAAGTTTGATAATAGGTCAATTCACTCGTAATATCAAAACTGACAGCGCAGTATTGAAACTAGAGAACGAAAATTTGCTATGTCGTACGTGTGTGAGACGGTGACAACACATGCGGGTGAGTCGTGACGTCCTCTTAATAAGTATTATACGTGTTCCACTATATTTAAATTGAATAGTCGTTATAAAATTAAGGTCTGAGTGGCTATACGGCGATTACCCTGTGACCAACTCGAGGTGGTGTTGCATAGCGAGCCGAGGGATATTTTCGATTTTTTTGTCCGAGCTCAGCACAGCGAGCGAGTGACGAGCGGGCATCACTGACGTCGTATAAGTATATATAACGGAAAAAATCTTCGAATTTCTAGAACGACGACGAAAACACGAAATCGATTTGGTTGAAAAAAAATCACCGTTTATTTCACAGATTGAGTATGCCATATTATACTTGCATACCTGCGACCCACCAATACCAGCAATGCCGGGGGGGGGGGGGCTGGAAGGAGTTAAGTTGTCTACCACTTGCACAGTTGCACGGCAATAAATATCGGTTGGTGTTCTGGCAGGAACTAAGGGGCCCCATCGATCGGGGGGAAATATCCCAAAGTGTCCTATGCGAAAGAGGTGCATGCTTTCACCTATCAACTTTTCCAATATAGGTACCTATGATGAACCGTATTCGACGCACAGATCGCGGCGACCCACCCGTATAGCTAGCCTACAAAACAATTATTACGACCGGACGACTCAACTACGAGCCACGACAATATATAGGTACCTGGCAGTTTTCGAACTTATCGGTGGTGAGTTCTTATAAGTTATATACCTAGTTATAATTTAATATTATATCATATTTATGATAATTATTATAATAACTTGTATACAGTTGGTATAGTAAATATTTACCACCTGTCTATGTGTACCTAACACGCACTGACATAATAATATACAGGGTGATTCGCCGCAAGCATGATCACCCGCCATTTTTTCGTCGATAATGCAGTAGGTATTCAAATCTGATTTTTGGAATTTTTGAACATACTATAAAAGGCCGATTTTTCAAATTCTTGGGAGCTTATAAAATGACAACCTCCCTTTTCCACTGTAGATTCCCTATTGAGTGGATCATTTTTCTGAAAATTTTGACATAACTATCAAAATCAAAATTCAAACTTGTAGTTTTTGAGTTATTTTACTATGTGCGCTTTAGGCCCATGATAATGAGTTTGAAAGATGGTGATATGAACCGTTTAGTGATTAATATTAATCCATCAAAATTAATAACTTGTAAAAATGGTCCAAGTACAATAATAATATCTAAATCTACCTATACTACCTATTTCGTCTACTTTATATTATTTTACGTAAAAACATTTTTAAGAACTATTATCCCTAGTATAAACATTTTAATACCTAACTGAGAAACTATATGCTTCTTAAATTTTTAAATAATTACATCAAATTTTTCAACAACAAAAATATCCACTAATTAGTTTACAGTAAAAAAGAAGGGGTTTTTATTTGAAAAATGGAAGTTCATGTCACCATAGGGACACTCCTTAAGTAATACAAAAAAATTCAAAATAAGATCTTTGAGTATATTTAAAATGTTTTAAGAATCATTAAAAGAAAAAATGTGTGTGAGCATGACTGGTGAATAATCCTGAATAGTGTAGATTTATTGTACACTACGTCTATATGAGTATATATTATATATATATATATATATATATATATT